GCAGTGTATATGAAAAACCTGCATTAGGGAGGAGATGCCTTTAGTTGATGGATAGGGCATTATTTTTGTTTCTCTTCTTCCTGTTCATTGCCCTGCTGTCTGTGCAGGACTGGGCTGTCATCCTCTGATAGGAGTTTTCAACTTCTCTCCCCATCTAGGAAAGCTCTTCTCTCCCTCAGAACAGCTGCTCGCCCCATTCACAAACTCCCATCTGTGAGGCAGGATTAAAAAAAAATTCCTTGAGAAGGGATACTCTTTGATCAAATCCCTGCCTCCTGTATTGCTATATATTCCCTCTCTTTGGCAAAACGTCGTGCGGAAGGGAGATAGCCTTACGTGCTCCGGGGCACTGGCCCTATGCTGCAGTTTCGCTACTTGATCCGATCACCAGGATTCTCAAACTTCGCAACAGAAAGGAAGGAACCAAACTGCATGAACTATGGCATAGACCCTTTATTAGTTTAACTTTTATACAAAGTGTACTTCAAAGTGATACAAATAACGTTACTGTTTATTTTACAGACTAGAGATTAAGGTCTGTTAAGCACTGCTTTATCCTTCTTGTGTATACAAAGATAGAAAATGTAAATAGATTGGCAGTGAACCATAATGCTGGAAGACAGTTCAATGTTTATTTGCTGGTAGAAAGTTGCATAGAAGTGTAGGTCTTTATAAAGGCATCTATCTCTGTGGTAAAATCTCCCCGACCTACCATCCTTCATCCGACAAGCAGTACGGGAGAAAGGCAAGGCTAGCACTGCTCCTTTTAAACACCATCCAGCACTCCTAAGTAAAAGGGCTATGGAAAAGCACCATGCCAGAAACATCCAAGAAGACAGCACATGGAAAATTTAATTTGCAAGGCTACCCCCATTTCTGTGTCTCTTAGGAACCATTTGCCACCTGGGATCTATTAATACATTAAACTTCTTAAAAACACCTAAGTATATTTGATACAAAACCACTTTTGGCCAGTCAAAATGCTTCACTATATTAGGTACTTTGCTTGACTGTAATTCCATTCCCTTCTGTGCTGACAAGAAACTCCTGTATATATGTGCTGTTCAATTAATTTATCTCGTATGAGACTGTTAATCTAGTACTAGAATCATACTAATTAAAAATCTGCCACCTTAATTAGGAAGTCTAGCAAAGTTCTTCCTTGCCACTCCTGCACCAGATGCAGGGGTCTCAGTTCCATGCCTTTTGCTGAATCTCATCTAAACCTACCAGAAGCTCTCCCCAGAATTACTGTTCCTCTTCCCAATAAAGGAATCCGAGCAGCAATGGTCCATACTGGCCAAGACCACCGAGAACTTTTTCCTCTGGGAGGAGTGCAGGAGAACAGGGAACGCGGCTTTAATGCTGAAGGAAACAGAGGAAACAGTATTTTGTCTTGAATTTGACTTCTTAAGCAAAGAAGTCAGTTGAGGGAACTGGTTTAAACGTATTTGTAATTGGCCTCTTGGGTCTTCAGAATAAATATGTAAATGTTGATTTTCTTTCAAAGACTCACCACTCGCTTTAAAATATTAATTTCTCTAAATACATCCTTAGTGTTATTCTTTTTCACCCAGTTTAATGCAGGATAAGGATTTGCTCAACTCCTTGTAATAGTTTCTAATCCCACATACATTACTTAACAGACTGCTCTCTCCGAGTTTTGTTTGCGAATCTCACAGTTTTGGTACTATTACATTTAGTACCCGCTTACTTGTGGCTAAAGATTTAATCTCCTTTTAATTCTAATGCTCCGTTAATTGTAGCAGTCGACACTGGTAAGCTAGCTGGCGCACAGGCTGGTGCTGCGGCAGCGTTGCTCTGGGGCTGAGGGAAGACAGTCGGGCTCTCCGCTCTCCCTGCTCCGCAGTCTTCGCTCTCCCTTTCCTACCTGCAAAGTCCTAGTAGAAGCAACTAAAAATACAACAACTGCTTGTACGGTTGCTGGTCCGCCTGAGTAACCGTTCACCTTGCACTCAGCACGGTTCCACCTGTGAGGAAATGGAAGTGATCCGAGTGTGATTTGGTATGAGAATACGAGTACCAGTCAGTCCCTGCTGGAACCCTCCCGTAATGCGCTTTCAGCAGTATCTCTCATATACTCCTAAGAGACCATCGCGACTTGGGAAGTAGCATTTCCACCTGAATGTCTTCTCTTACACTAAGTCACTACAATATTTGGACCCTTAGTTTTTATAAAAAGGATTAACAGACTATTTGAAAGAAAGAAAAAAATTCCTTGCTTCTGCCAGCTGTTATTAAGAGCTGTGTAATACATGAGACTGGAAAAGCTAAAACCAGATAAAATATTAACATAATGGGCTATTTAATTTCAGCCTAGTTAATTTTAAAGACAGGTAAAATGATGACCATACTTAAGCATACACCACCCTGTGAGTGGTTCGGTAGCAGAGGAGAATCATAAGTGCAGAACAGTGATCAACACTGAGGAATGGGATTGAGCTTAAAGTACCTGGAGGGATCCGATGCCATCAGTTAGTACGTGCCCATCGAAAACCTCCCTGCAAGTGCTTCTGGCTGCTAAGGAAAGCCCGGCTGACAGGTCATTCCAGCAGCAGGTGGGCCCGAAGCGTTGCGACATTTCAGCGCTGGAAGTTCAGACTCTCCAGAGCTGGCAACGGGAAGCTACGTAGATCGCGCAGCAGAAAGTCCTTCCTTACCACCTACGATGCGTTTTCTCACGCAGTTTCATGTCGCCACTTAGGGGACAGACAGCAGACCGAATGCTAAGTAAATATTAAATAAACCCTATTTCCTACATTAGAAGGAATTTAGTCATAAATAAGTGGGTGAAATTCCTAAAACAAACAAATGCAGAGATCCCATTATGGAGAAAGCACAGAGCTAATAATAACTTGCTTTAATAATAACAGAAAAGATTGGGTGATCATTACTGCCCTCCAATGTGGTAAAGATGATCCTGCTCATCTGCGTTCTGTAGGATTTTGAAGGAATTTTCTTCTTTCACGTTAAGCAAAGTAGATAAAGTCACATCACAGAACCACACAGCTACAGTACACAGAAAAGCACATCCTGAAAATATATTGATTCTAATAGCATGAAGTCTGGTGTTGCCAAGAAGCTTCAAAATTAGTGTGAATGCTGAAGAAGACACAGACCACAAACAGCTTGCTTATTTAGAATGCAAGATCATAAAAGCTTTCTTACTTTCTACCTACAGCTTTAACACGCACACTGATGTCTGTGAATTGACCACTGAATGTTCAGTGTGAATGAAGGCCCTCCCAAATCACAGCTACCGTTCTACTGTTTCAGATTGTTAAACATGGCTGCTTAAGAGATATGCTATGTCATGAGTTGGTGACCTACATACTGTCAATGATTGTAATTTAATCTAGAACATAAAGACTGAAAACAAGTAAATATTTGGACATAACTCCTCCTATGAATGTTTTCTTTCACAAAAAACCCCCCCGAACTTTTACAGAAGAGTTATTTCTGTCAGTTTTTAAATGCACAAGACCTGAACGTGTGCACATCTGCTTCAGTGGTATTAAAGAAACAGCAAGTTAGGAAGATTTATTAATGCCTGAAATTAAGACAGCTCTGACTGCAAGTCTTCATAATGTAGTGTGTGCTAAAGACGGTTGCTGCCTCTCTCTTTGGTTATGCTGTTAGCCGTAAAAGCATTGCTCTGAGCGACAGCAAGGCATGCACAGTAATGTATTTGCTTTCTAAACTATAAAATCAGCTTATTCAGATTGTTGCACCTGCACACATTTTCCTGAAAGTTCAAAACTGATTTAGCACATTCAGTAAACAGGAGGCCAGGTTCTCCCCTAGTTACTCCACTGAAGAGCTGCAACAGAGGACAGAATATGGCTTAATTATAGCACTGAAAACAACATGAACAGGCTGTGTAAGAAGCTTAGAGAAAAGTCTTTGAACTGTACAGATTTCTCATGCAGTCCTTCCAGATAAATGCCCCCTTGATTCAGTATTTGTGGGTCTGTTAAAAAAAATCCTAGCTCTTACACTGTTGCAAACTTAAGTACTATAAAGACGTCCGAAGTCCAAGTGACTGTGCAAATATTCATCTGTTGTGGATACTAATGTTCAAGTAGCCTTAAACCTGCCAAAAGAAAATGAAGGATACTCAAGGCATTTATATACGCTTTAAAGATATTGAGTACTGAATGGGCTGGTCTTAAGCTTAAAGGACCCTGTAGAAATAGCTGATACTTTCACATATAAAAGCTTCAAATTTTTAAATAAAATGCAGATCCCCTCCCACAAGCTCCAAGTTACTCACACTTGTATTTAAAAGGTTTTAAAGGACTCTCTTACCTTGGGCTTTGCTATTAGTCTCTTAAGTGTGTATCAGCCTGGGAAATTAGAGAAGCTCTAAAGTAGAAGTCAACCTCACCTGAAGCTGTTATATAGCAGTAGAATTACAATTTAAAGTGCTTTCTTTCCACCTTTGAAATAGACCTTCTACAGCCTATAAACAAACAAAATCTATTAATTTCAATTACTGACTTGCTAATTCTATTACTGACTTTTCCCAAAATTAAGTACCTCCCAAATGTCTCATCACTGATGATCACATTTTCCTTCTGTTTCAAGTAGAAGCATAAACTAGACTTAAACAGACTATAATGACCCGGAAGGAAACAAGCTTTAAATATCTTTGACTTTAAAAGGCTCTAGCTTTCAGGCTTGAAAGACTCCTGTAAATGATGCACTGAAGAGACAACAAATCAAGTCTCCTCCCCCCTTTTTATAAAAACAGTAGCTAAAACAGTATTTGCCAATTATTGGTTTTAATGCCCAGTATTCCCTAAGAGAAAATTCCCTCATTTGTTGTTATGCCAAGAGGAAATATAGTAATCTAGATTTAGAAAGAAAGCAAGTAAATCAGAAACAATACACAGTTTACCAATCATTCACAGAAAGTAGAAAAGTTTGCCAGATGGTCACAGAAATTAGAAGAAAATGCTTTTTGAGCTTACTTCTGTTTAGATAACTGTAACTTCCCTAGGTTTTCGTTTTACACTCTCTAGTCGTGCTAGAGGGCGGAAATTTGTTGACTTCCTGCTTCCTTCTGTAGTCGTTAATCGACAGTCCTTCTGCAGCCCCTTCAGCAGCTCCATTAGTTCCCGTTTTTCCAGCTCAGCCTGTTCCAGCTCTTGACGGTGCTGTCTCTCTGCAGCCATCAGAGAGCGTACATCTGACATCATTCGTGACATCTGACTCTGAAACGCAAATACAAATTTACTGCAAGAAACATCTCTTCTCTAGTGATGATGGTATGAAGTTGAATCGGCCATCCATGTAGGGTGATGGATTATAAAGAATAAGCAACACCAAAATAATTTTTTGATAGCGGAACAAATGTAAACAATTTGAGACACCATCCAGGCATTCACCCTCTGAGATGGTCTTGTTTCAAAGATTCCAATACAGTTTTCCTAAAAGTGCAAAAAGTTTCTTATAAAACATAATAAGAAAGAGTGGATTTATCCAGTTGCTGCTTAAATTTTGTATTTCAAGACCCCAACCAAAATAAGGTTTTGGTTATGTTCAGATACATTCTTCAAGGATTTAACATCAAATCTGGTAAAAATAAAAACGTAAACTATAAACCATATCCATTTCTGTGATATAAGAAGAACTGGATAAATGAAAAGATAAGACAGCCTTGCTCATTACTTGATTAAGTTTACAGTGCAACTTTCCAACCTTCTGATTACAGCTGAACCATAGTGTAAATAGCACTGGATTAAGCCACTTTGGGCAGCGCTAAAAAAGGAGCTGAATATTTCATTACATCCGATTTGTGCTGTATGCCCTATGTTTAGACACTGAAAATGAGTTTCAGACTGATTTGCTGACATGTTATGTACAACACAGCCCTGGTACAGGTTAGCTCCAAATGAATTTGAAGCAGAAAAACCACACGAATACAGCACTCAGCCTGCTTCTCAACAGAGATGATAAGCCTAGGCAAAGCACTGTGCTAACACCTGTTTTGCTTCATGTAATTCTCATCTGTATGAGACTACATTTACAAAATAAGAGACTACTACTGGCAAAAGCAAAAAGCTAGACTGTTAGGAAAAAAAAAAAAGAAAATAAAATGATCATATTTACCTTTAGTTCTTCAACTTCATTTTGCAGAATACTCTCTTTTTGGACCATATGCCTTCTCTGTGAATCTAACCTTGACTCCATCTCATGTTTTGCCTCCTCCACTCTGCAGATCATTTCTGACCTAAAAAGTTTATTTTTCCTTGTTAGGTCTTGTAAGCATGGAAAAAAAAAATGATTTTCAAATTCCGGAAAGCCTTCTTGCAGCCAAACAGCCCGATCCGATTCCCATCACACTCTACAGGACACCTCTCTAGAGGCAGTATAGTACTATTTATTAATTTAAATAAAACTAGCATAAAAAAGTGCATTGTGCCCAGGGGACACCTAAAGTGTCCACGGACAGCCAATATAGGGGACAACTGTATCATAGTCCTGAAATAATTCTATGAGCTCAAGATCATGTATTTATGACTTTAAATGATTTACTGCCTTTTACTTATAGTATGCACTTGCTTAGTATTACTAAGCACAGGCAGTCAAGATGAAAAGTGTAAATACTATAGTATTGCTAAACGCGTACTTTTATGGTCGACACTAAATGATAGTATGCAGTAAATTATTATAACCTAATCGCTCATACAGGTTCACAGCCAAAACCCAGCTGTTGTTACTACATTAGCCTTTTGAGTTCAGAAACTAGGTAGCAGAATCCCTCGTGTCTCAATGCATTCAGAACAGGTTTGAGCCTGACTTCACAGCAATGTTCAACACCACAAGACTTAGACAGTGAGTTGAAAGATAGAAATGGGAAGGAGCATGAAAAAAACAGTCCAGCTGGAACATCATGGAAAGGGAAAGCTACAGAAACATATATAAGAGGAAAAAGAGGATGCCGGTAAGAAGAGTCATATTCACCAACTGTTATTAATCTGCCAGGATTTTAATCAAAATTGAAAATTAGATCCTCAGAGGTTTAATCTACCAGTCTGTACCTGCCAAAATAATTACAGATTTTTATCTTTGGAATTTGTAAAAAAATAAAAACTAAACATAATGATTAAATAATGCGACTTTGGGTCTATGTCAGGCCAATGGAAAAATTAAATTATCACCTTCATTCCAGTTCTTGTTAGGTATTTTGACATTTTATATAGTCAGCTTGCAGTTCAACTGCAAGCAATGGTATTTTAGGATTTATGATAACTTGGACAAGAAAAATAACAGCAAAAAATCAAAACAGTAAGAATTTAAAGTCTATGCTGACACATAATAATACTCTGGCCCATTAATATCAAGTAATTAACAGACTATTTAACACATACCGGAATCCAGCGCTATTATTTCAAGTGCTTTATGCAGTGATTTTAGGCCCAGACTAACACAAACATCAAAGAAACAGAAGATTTGTACCGAAGTAGTTCTAGCTCAGTTCTTAGCTCTGCTACACAATTATGCTGTGTGTCTTCTGCACTGAGAATGGTGTAACCACAACCATTGGGGCATTCACGGCTCCGATATTCGCACACTGCCAGGTGACCATCTAAGTTACGTCGTTCAATCTGAACTGTACAACCTGAACAGGGAACAGTAAGGTAAGCCAGTCATTCACAACTAACAAAAGCATTTTAATTAATTTCAAACAAAAGCACTCAAGCAAGCAAGCTGCAATATCCTGAGCTAAGCAACTGTCAATCTGTTAAAGCAATGAAAAAAGTGATTTCTTTAGAACATGAAATGGGATAGTTATAACACAAATAACTAGTAATAAAATACTCTTAAAGAGTCTTATTAAAATATTTATCAAGTAACTGAAAATACTGAAAAACTAAAAGTATGTATTTTCTGTAGTCGTCTACTACTGGTCTGGCATTAAAGCAACTTCAGTAATGACAACACTGATGCCAAGCTAAGACTCCAGCAGCCTGCCTGCACTTCCACCACAGACTGCAGTGACTGGAATTGAAGAAGAATGCACATATGTAAAAAAAATTAGGTTATCAAATTTAGGAAAAAAAGGTCCAAAGACACGTAGTAAGAGAGATCTGGGTGAGATGGAATGTAACCTTGTTTTCCTGACCATTGGTTGGTCTTGTGTGTAACATATTAGACCACATAAATAAAAAAGAACATTTGTTTATGAACATTTAATAACTGATGCAAAAAAAAAAATCCCACATAAATTCTAAGACGCAAACTTTACAAATCTGTAGTGATTAAAAATAAAATGTAGGGAACCAAAAATGAACACTATGTAACTTATTGCTATATTTAACACTCTAAACTTGAAGTCTGTAGTCTTAATGTTTAATCTTCTAATTTCCAAGATAAGTTTTTGTTAAAACCACGAGACAGAGTGAGCGGCTGCACATGCACCAGGCAAGCAGCCGTTTTAGAAATAAATTGTGATCCAGAAGCATTCTGTAGGTGCTATTACAAACATCAAAACGAACAGTCAGAATTGAAATACAAACTCAGAACTTACCAGAAAGCAAAGCAAATGCACTACTATATTTTCATAAATTTTAAGTCCATCATTCTCATTCATTTTGGTTAGTTCTTGGATAAGAAATTGTTGCTAATGATCATGATTGCCATAAATTGGTAACAAATTCTGTTCAAAAAGACTGCTGTAAAGAGTAGACCATGCTAAAGGTTTGAATTTCTGTTTGGAAATAACACCCGTTATTGGCATTCTGTTGACAGAAAAATGGCAAACACATGTTTTCTGAATACAAAGGATTCAACTTCTTCGAATGTTACTCACCGGCATTGGAGCAAGGTATCTGACTGTATTCACACTCCCTTTCATGCCTGTCTATAGACTCCAGAGAACAAACCATTTCACAGCCATACTCTCTGTTTTTGCAATGTAGCTGAAGACGGTTTAAATCATTTTTCATATATCTACGTGCAAAAAAAAAAAAAACTGAAAAACATTATTGCAAAATTTGTATTTTCAACTTCTGGGAAAAGAAAGTAAGATTCTAATTTCCATTAGGAAAACTTGTGAATAATCAGTTTAATTTTTTTTTTCTTAGAATTCAAGTTACCATATTGGAAAAGAACAGGCTTAAAAGCAAAAACATGAAAGGAAAAATTCAGTCTCCAAAATTTAATGTCCAAATGAATTCTTTATTTTTGAATAAATTTTTAACTGATCTTTCACTAGCTCAGCAGATATTACCAATAACAAACACTTAGGCTATTCATTGATCATTTAAGTTTTAATTTGTGTTTCTAACCATGCCAAACCAAGCTGACCACAGCGAGTACAGACAAAACAATCTATAAATTAAACTCTAGGGCTCTGTCTACACTATACTTGAATTGTCCATGCAGTAAAATCTCCTTAGTCACAAAAATACTCGGAGTACAAAAGGAGTTAATTGAATGCCCGTGGCTGAAGGTTTTAAACACAACGTAACGGTTAATCTGAGCAAGATTAGACAATGCAGGGGTTAAACAGCAAGCAGTGTCTACTGATGAACCTCTGTGTGCTGGCAATAGCAGGAATTAATAGAATAGAACAGAACAGCACAGAACAGCACAGTTGGAAAGGACCTACAACAATCATCTAGTCCAACTCCCTGACCAATTACGGAAGACACTTGTGAAAACAGCCTGCTTTACATGACGAGGTGGCTCAAGACAGATATTCTTATGGCTAAAGCCCTTTTTTAAAAAGGATTTGAAGGCGAGAAGTTTGGTTCATATCTACAGGAATTATTCATTACAAACCCCACTACAGTGCCTAGGTAAGACTGAAAAGAAAACTAAAAGATATGGTGTTTAGTGACTGTTGTTGTCAAGACTTGCTTTGCCTGCTTTCTCTAAAGAAGTATGGGAAAGTTTTGGTGCTGTAGAAGACATTCAGAATAATATCCAGACAGATATCTAGAATCAGCATGTGGAGAACAAACTAAGTGCTATTTCCATTTTGAAACGTTAATACCTCGAAAGTTAGTTATAATAAATAGAAAATTCTAATGCTTTCACGCAAGTCATTAGTTTCTGCGATAGGCATATTGAGTAAAGACAATTTGAGCGACAGAAAAGGACAAGACATGAAGCTGTGGAAGCAAAGGTGAGAAATCCCAAATTCATGTAAGTTCAACATACAGCAAGATGATTGTATACCTGTACAGAGGTCGTAGCAAAGATACATCAATCATTTGCCTGTCTTCAGGGCAGTTACTGTGATGAACAAGCCATCCATGTATACACGCAGTACAGAAAGCATGTTCACAAGGAGCCTGTAACGGATCTTCTAACACATCACGGCAGATGGAGCATAATAGCCCTTCATTAACATAGCCAACGAAACGCTCGATATCATAACCCATGCTCTCCACACAGTTTCAACCTATTAAAACAACACAGAGAATGTGTGTTTGTCCTGAATCCGTATGGCTAGATCCACAAAAAGGCCCGGAAGCAATTCTAGAAATATGGAGAACTTAACATGAATACAGAACTTTACAGGCGAGAATGCAAACACTTACATACTTTGGAGACTTTAAGAATTTGAGGATTGTACTGCTGGATGTCAGAAGCCCAATTTTATATCAAGATTCTCTGCATTCTGAAAGCAAAAGCTTTACCAGATATGTGAGCCATGCTTGTTCTGAACCCTGTTATTGAACATAGTTCTAGCAGCCACTCTGAAACATATAGTTTCTCTTTACTTGAATTCTACCTGAAGCATAAACATCATAAAAGTTCAAATGCAAAATTCCATTTTCATGCCTTTTATATAACGCCTAACAAACTTACAAAACAGCATCATTACAGACAATAGCTGTGCTACTTTCAGCCAGCAGATTTTGTATTTATGAACTGCACATCACTTAATGTGTTGCTTTCATGCTGAAAAAAAAAAGGCTAAGATTCTCTACTCATTGTACACTTCCATTCCAGAGGGAACAGCATGAAAACTCCACCTGCCTAGAGAAATACTTAATATTCGGGAGCCAAAACGGCAGCTAACCCTGAAATCATGAGGAGCTACGGTCTCCTCCTACAGAGTCTATTTTATAAAACTGTTTTTTGAAAAAGAACTATCAGGCAATCTGCCTTCATCAAAATCCTATCACAAAAAGCCTCATAGAATTTGGTAAGACTCCACAGAACTCACTTAAAAGAAAATGTTTTAGACTTCACATTCCTCCTTAACATACAAAATTACTTTCGTAACCCCACTGAGACTCATAAAAGAATTTTTCATTATTTATGAGGTTTTCTAAATAAAGCAGAAAAGGAATCCTACCTTTTTAGATTTTACTACATATATACATAGTTTGCCCAAATAATTCAGAAATAGTTTTCTGATCAGTAAGACATGTAATACTTCCTTCCTTTGGTTTCTCTTCACTGCTTTATTATGCCTATGAGAAAAATTAGAAAGAAAAAGGCTCAGTAGTGTTTCCTAAGCTACTGAGTCCTGTGTCTAACCAACCAGCTGCTTGAATAGATAAACTTTCCAAAGCAAGCCACTGTAAAACCTACAGTTCGACACAAGAGACCTGACTAGACTGGGGGGGGGGGCAGGAATCATCAGTCTCTTTTTCAATTATTACTGATGCAGATACTTATCACAAAACTGAACACCCTGCTGCCATTTAATTTTGAAGCTTACAGATTTGTTTGTAAGATTGAAGACAACAGAATTCAATATTATTGAAAAGTATCAACTGAAATCTGGTAAAATTATACTCCTTAAAAAGATGAAAGTTTCTTATCTAACCTGGTTTTATCTGGACATGATACACAGTTCATTTTTAAAACAAAACTATTACAGTCAAGTTCATTGTATTGACAAATAACATTGCTCTGATGTGTAGCATAACTAAGGCTGCTCACTTAAAAAAATTAAAAAGGATGTAATCACTTAAATCCCTTAAATTGATATCTAGCAATTGCAATATGACATTCAAAGAGAATCGCAATCTGAATTAGAACTGTGTAAGAACAATAAGGATCTTTAAGGACTAATGTCAAATTTCGCTCTAAAGGGAAAAAAGAACTTCGCAATTCCTCTTCATGAATACAATATAAATCTGGAATTCAGAAGATCTTATATATCTGAGTATCAAAGCATATCTTCACTGATTATGAAAGGTGCCTGCATTAAAAGGGTATTTGCTAAGATTAAAGTTAATAAAACCTGAAAAGAAAGCACGCATAACACAAGCAAGCATGCGTATCACCCAAATACAAAACACATCATCTGCTACACAGTTTCCCATATTGTGTGTTATTTCTGCTGGCATGTTTATCGCATAGCCAACACCATGGCTTGCAGAGATGCTTGAGCTAGCTTTAGATTAGCTGGGACACCTACTAGCCAGGTGATCTAGTGACACCGTTGCCACTGCAGCAGGGAGTGCAATCCACATAGACTCCTGACAAGGTCCCAGGCAGATTTCACAGACTGCGTTCAGCTCTGTGCTTCTGTGGCTACGTTGGCACCAACAACACAGGCAAACCAGATGTACAGGTATTGGGGATATGCTATTCCTTCAGCCACAGCATGGACATTGCATGTCTTAGAAGAGTCTGCTCAAGAAAATACCATATTATGAAGATGATAAAAAATTCTTTTTATACTGTTGTTTCCTTGTATGTTTTTACAGGTCTCCTGCAAAGACAGGAAATTCGGGACTTTGCTAGTTCAGAGTGAACAAAATGAGCATTATGTTTGCACAAAGCTGTGATTGAAAGGACAGCAAGGACCACAATGGAAAGTTTAAAAAGTGGAAAACAATGCTAATTATTGGCAGCAGAATGTGAAGTCAAGTACTAGTTCCCAATACTGACAAAAGCATTGAAACATATAGTATGTTTATGCTGGAGAACTGTTAAACAGCATATATACATTCTATAATTTGAATTGTGAGCCTAAAACTTTGATTTGGCTTGGTGGATCCCAGAGGATTCAGGTTTCAGAAAACCTTCACAGCGATACAAGATATGTCAACAGAACTGCAAGTATTTTTGCTGTCCTAGGGTTTCTGCTCTACTGTAATTGTGGATGCTGTAAGCTACATTTTGCACACATGTTGCGGATCCCTGGGCAATATATATAAAATATATATTATTTATACATATATATAAACATATATAAAAATATATTATTAAATATATATACATAAAGCCCCAATCAAAACCAGAGTTCAAATGGAGAGTGGATGGAAGCTCTGAGGCAAAAAATACAATCAAGGGGGTTTCTGATAAGAACTTCAGTACGTTTTCAAGACTGATGTTGGAGAAGCACCATCCCACACAGTGCCAGAATCCTTGTGGCTTTGAGTCTGAGACCTATGACAATGGTTGTCACTGAAGTCCCAGACATCTTCCAGTAGAAATTTCCTGATCTGAAGAACCAGAGATGTTTCACCTTCTGCCACCTTCAAGAGATGCACTTTAATCAACAGATAAGCAGAGGGAGAGCATCAGATACATGCTATCCGCTCTAGCAGTACAGATGACTTTACTCAGTACTTCCACCACAAAACGACATAATTTTCAACTTCTGCTCTTCCCCAGAAACTTTTCTCTTCTCAACTTGGCCTCAAAACCTTTTTCTATTTCTATTACAAATCACCGATTGTTACACTCCTTTTTGTTTGCACCTAGAAACGACGTTATTTATCACTGCCTTCCCACACTCCACTAATGTTTCCAAACCTTGCCTTGTCCTTGGTTTCTCTGGTCCAGAATTTTGCCCATCACCTGCCCATCACCAGCGACACTGTCCACAAGGATATCTGGAATTTGCAGGCACCAGATCTAGAAGGCAGGAAAAGCCCAAACTATTACCTGCTATTTTACTTCCATTGTTTCACATATACTTTATTTCTCCTCATAGTTTTTAACATGCAAAAATTTCCCCCAGACTTCACAGATATGAAGTCCTTTTTTAGTAGCTGTCATCCCATGTTGTCTGCCAAGCAGATGCCCGCCTAAAAACAGCCTTGAGCTATGGCCTGCACTGCCTTCAAAGGGGGATTTTGTGTCGCTATTAATAGCAGGGAGAATACAGATGGGATGTAGTTCTCAACAACATAATGGCACGGCTTACTAAATGTCTGGCACTAATAAAAGCTATTCCATTGTCAAAATCAGGACAGTGAGATCAGATGAGTGATTTGCGTTTTCACTTCTACACTTCTTTCTGATTTTTAAAAACTGTTTCTTTTGCATGTGACAAAACAAAGCAGGGCTGGAGTGAACCATGACAGAACTACAGATGTGCATCACTAAGCACCTCCAGAAGTGCCGCGTGGCTGGATGAACAATCAATCTATGCAGGGCCCAGGGATGAGGTGACATTAAAACATGCTATTGCTTCAGCTCGTATTTTCACAAAGATACACTGGGCTTTAAATCCTGCTATACAGAAACAATGTTTTATGGTGTCTTATGCCATTCTTCCACAGTCACTGTAAGCCGGTTTAAGTCAGCATTAATACCAAAAGAGGCAGCCTCACCCCTTCAACTGTGACAGACAAGCTGATTCTACAGCCGCTTGATGTATCACACTGGGTAACTGACCTGTTTTAAGACTGAACTGGAAAAAAAAGTTTTAACTTTGACAGTTGTCCTACAGTAGCTCAAGCCAATCTATCCACTAATTAATGTCCTCTTAGCCTTCTTCTACTTCCTGCCATGAATCCATTAGAAGGTTTAGTTTGGCCCTTTCCTGAACGGGCTCAGACAACTAACTATACAGAAAACTACTCACTGATTTGCTAGGCAAGATTTCCTTGTAGATGGCTCAGCAAAAGCTCCAATGACTGTGGAAGTGGGACAAGACAGGGGATGAGAAACCACAGCCAGGGTAGAAAGGAAAGTAAGACAGCAGCAGTGTCTGTGGCTAAGGCTGCGGTAGAGCTACACCCCCAGCTCAGTTACCCAGACTGGTACATCGTGGAGCGTCATCAACATTTGCGTAAAAGAAAGGGAGCAGAAGAGGGTAAGAATGAATGGATAGCGATACCAGCTTACAGTGATGTAAAAAACTGACTTAATCAACAAAACCCTCCATAATAACCAATATGAGATACATATACGATTAATTTAAGGCCTATGCCTCTACCAGGAATTACCTAATAAACTAGAACTACTTTGACAAAGAACATTTTTACATAACGCCTCCATTTGCTGTCCTGCTGCAAAACCTACTCAAAACAGAGCGGAACAAGGTACGGCTCTCCCAGAGCACCTTTTAGGCTCTGCAGGGCTGGACGCTGCTGCACAGCGGCAAGGCCAAGGCCAGAGGAGCTCTCCGCAGAGGCCTGGCGGGGAGCGGGGACCCCGCAGAGGCAGGCGGGAGGCCTCGGGGCCATGCCTGGGGAGGCTCTTCGGGACGGCCAGCGACCTCGGTCACAGAGAACAAAAGTGGCCTGGAAACACCTGGAGCAGCAACGTGACACCGAGCTACCGCACCTAAGCGGAGGTAACCAGCGGTAACCTGTGGGCTTACCGTTATCTCCTCGTCAGGGTGGCGGAGCCACCGCCAGCCCGGCACAGGGGCTGAAGGGGCCGGCGCCCGACCCGCCG